CAAAAAGATAAGAAAAAACATTTCTCAGTAAAAAAAATTTATCTTTTTTTTTATCATTTTTTTTAAACGAAAAACAAAAGATTAATGAAAAAAAAAATGGCAAAAGAATTGGAATGTTTGCAAAACTAAAAAAAGAATCATTGGATAAAATAAAATTATAACCGAAATAACATGTATTAAACTGTTACAGTAATTAGTGTAAAAGTAAAAAATTTTCAAAATATTTACTTACTGAAAAAAATGGAATTATTTTATAATTATATTATATAAATACAAGTATACTTTGCTTTTTTTAAATGCTAAATTAGTCTAAAGTTTATTGGTGATTATTATGGCCTAAGGCTAACGAATAAAATTGTATTCGATAAATGATGGTTGACGAATAATTAAAGTATTATGAAAACTTTGAGAAAAAAATTATTAAGTTGCAACAAATTAGCCATTTTATTACAAATAATTTTTGCGTTTTTTTTCCTTTTTTTTTGAAAAAGTTGAGCCAAGTTAACTTTTTATTGGAAAATTTGAAAATACTAAAAAAAAATTGGAAAAAATTTCCAATTTTGGAAAGTGTTTTAAATTAAAAACGAAATAACTTATAGGTTGCATTTTTGTAAATTTCTAAATGATTCATTAATTTCAATTTAATGAATTGCCTTATTTGGTTGTTAATTCTATTTATTTCATGTTCGTATTTTAAAAAATTTAATTATCAAATAAATTATACTATTAATTATATTTTTGATAGATGCAAAAATAAACTTAAATATTAAATGTTTTAAAAGTAACAAAAAAAAAACAAAAGGAAATAACGCGAAAGATGAAAATTAATGAAATCTTATGAGATGAAATTTTATTAATTTTTTAACTGTTCATTAAATCTAACACTTTTTCATTTTTTCTTTTAATGATAAATCTTATCAATTGCTTATTGCAAATATTTCAAGTTTTTTCAAAAAAAAAAAAAAAACGAAATAAAATAATTCGTATCATTTTGCCATCATAAAATAAACGAATAAATAAATGAAATAAATTAGAAATCAAAAATTAAAATGAAAATCGAACGAAAAAGAGGCACTATTAAAGTTTTTTGTTTTTCTTTTTTTGACAAACATACTTGTAAATTTATTGATTTTAATTTTGCTCAATTTTGATACACGTACGTGATACGCGTATTTACACGCTTGCTATCTGTAATTCCTTTCCTATTGATTCAGTGTATTGATACGAAAGTCCGTTCATGCGTATCATTTGTGATTTTTTTTTTTTTTTAAATGAAAAAGTGAAATTATTTAAAGTCCATCGATCAAAAAACAATCCTTTCAGAAAAATGGTAAACAAAAAAAAAAAAAGGAAATGCGTGAAAGAAGCGCAAAATGTCGCTCATTTACTTTTTTTGAATACATAAAATGAAAAGAAAAAAGTTATAAAAAAAAAAAGCTTTGTCGAAATGTTTTTTTATGAAAAGAAAAAATTTTAAATTGAAATTAAAAATTAAAATTTGATAATATTAGCTGAGGAAAAGAATGGAATTAATGGAAAGTATAGCAAATTTTTGATATTACATTCTTGTATAACTAATTATATCCTATTTGAATGGAAGGTGCAAAATTTAATTAAAAAAAGGAAAAAAAGACTTATTTCAAATGAAAACTTGCAACAAATTTAATAATGAAGGTGAAATCAAATTAAATTTTAAAAGAAATAATCAAAATTTATGCAAAAATTTTTCATTTGAAAAAATTATCCGTTTTTTTTTTCTATTTGATTGTTAAGTTGAAATAGTACATGAAATCTATGATCATTGAGCATTTTATTTATGTCTTGAAGATACTAAAAAAAAAGAAAAAATCCAAAGATTAGGCTCGAAAGAAGCATGATTTATAAGCGTTTTATATGGGCCTAATACAGCTTTGAAAAAGTCATAGGCCAATTTTGTGTGGAATTAAAATAGGAAAAGAAAGACATGAAAGTTTTATTTCATCCAAGAAAAAGAAAACAATTTGTGAGTGCAAGATATTCAAAGAAATATAAGAATTCAAATTGTATTTAAATAAATACTTAAAATAACTCAAGTCTATAGGTACATTTAATTTTAAATAGAATTAATTTAATTCATTTTATTTTAACAAGAATCTGCATATTTTTTTTTATGCAGATACAAAAAATTAGAGATGAATATTGAATTGCTTTCAAAGTGACAATAAATCCTTCCTGATAACTTTCTGTTTAGTTCTAATTACCAAAATTGTTTTTTTAATTTCAGTAAAAAGTTTTAAGTATTCCAGTTTCAAATTCGGATTTCAATGGCCAATTTTTTATTGCTTTTGTTTTCTTCAAAAAGATGTTGAAGAGATAGAAAAGAAAAAGAAAAACTTTTCAAATTCATATTTTCATATTTTCATGCAAAATTATATTTCAATTCGATTTTTATTAAATGAAGTGAAATTTTGTGTAATATCTTAAATTGCAACAAAACGGGAAATTTTCATATAAGCAACTGATAGTTTCAATTCTTTCCATTTCATTAAATAAAATCTCAATTAGAGGGACTTTTTCTAATTAGGGAGGTTTTGTGACAAATTCCATTTCACTTCGGATAATTTATCAATTTTTAATAATTAACTGATATTCACCTCCATTGTCGCAAACTAAACAACAGCATGAATTAGGCAAATGTAAATGTGCGATACATTGAGATATATTAAGCTTTTTTAACGCTAATTAATTATATGCTAATTCTATTTAAACGCAGTTGAACTTAACGATAGATTATCAAGAATAAATATTCGGAATAAGTGAACACGAAAAAGTTAAAAAAATTCAAACAAGCGAAAATTGACAATGTCAACAGTTAATTTTTGTTTTATATTTCAAAAAAAAAACGTTTTAACTCACTTTTTCTTTGACTATCTCATTTGATTTTAATTCATTTCACTATTATATTATATACATGTGGTACTTTAATTCATTACAATCAGTTCAATATTTCTAATACATTCCATTTATCAATCTTTTCTGTAAGTAAAATTCCACAGCAAGTTAAATAAATTCTTCATTCTAACTGATTAAAAAAGGCTAAATATTAAATTTGATAAAAAAAATGAATTTACATTAATACTACCAATTATCTCTTTGAATTCATATATTTTTTATTCAACTTCCAATTCAAAAACTTCATTTCCAGCCTATTTAATCCAAAACAAAACTAGAAATGTCACATTTTTTTCTCTTTTAATAACAAATTGAATTTTTATAATTTTATAGTAATAACTTGCAACCAATTTCGATTAGCATAACGAATGAATTTGAAAGGAAAAAATCGATTAAAATTCTTGAGGAGAAAACTAAATTGTCCTTTTGAATGTTTAAAACAAATTCAGGTTTATTATCCAAACGTGTTTACAGTTGTAAAATATATGGAATGTCAGAATGAGTTGGTTTGATTGATGAATGATGAAGAACGGGTAATTTTAAATCTTGATTGGACGAACTAGCTTTCAAAGTGACCCAATGAAATATATTGTTACTCTCTTTTTTTTTGCTTTTATCTTTGCTATTTTTAAATTCACTAAGATTTTAAGGCATTTTTTCAGGAAGAAAACTGGAAAACATATGATGTTTTGAGTGAATTCGAAAAATTTTAAAAGAAAATTAAACGGTTAAAAACAAAAATGACTCGGTCATTTCATTCAAATTCATCAATGAATAAGTAAATGATTTGAGCTTCAAAAATAATGTTTTGTCCGCTGGGTTCAAGAAATTTAAATTAGAAAATAAGCATAGAATGAAATAAACCAAGGAAGAAGAATGGCTTTTTTCCCCCTGCTTTTCTTCCTTCATTTGCTTTAATCTGTTCAAAAAAAAGAAAGAAAAAAGAGAGGAAATGACTAGTAATAGAAAAGGGAATTATTGATGCCAATAGTTGATTTGCATTCATTCGTTTTATGGTTAATGCTATTTCTATTTTATGAAGTAGTGAAAGCTTTGCGAATATTTGTGCAAAAAATTTGTTATTCATAACTTTCACTTCTTTTCACCACTTATGAACTACATGACATATACAACGTTTTGTATTATTATCAATTCAACAAATTAAAATTTTGATCGGAAAAACTGAATTAACTCTAACATAGCTGACAGAATAATAGCAAAATCAAAGAAATTGTAATGATTGATTGATTACAAAAATATATTAAAATATTAAAACATGAAGAAGATTTGTTGATTCGTAACGAACATAATTTTCACAGAAAGCATTATTACCTCAAGGAAATTCGTTTGTCATCCAAAATCCTGAAAAGGAATTAATTAGGAAATAAAAATAGAAGCTAGCCAAAACATTTATGCGATATATTCCTACATTAGAATTTGAAAGCCGAAATGTACTGTTCGCGGTACAAGCAATTTTTTAATTTAAAGTCATTAAGCCACTAATCCAAATCTAGAATTCATGAGCAGTCCAAATCGATGGAATTCATTATTAGACAGCTAAGCATGAACCTAAATGAAACTTAGCACAACTGCATCCAATACAACCTTTTTAGACTTGACCAAACACTGAATAAATATAACTGAAATTCATAAGATATTTACAAGCTTATGAGAATTCATAAGATTTATAAAAGTAAAATTGTCCCCATAAATCATTACTATACCTTCTCGTTATATGACAGGAACTTAGATCAAAATAAGAACCAGGTCGGTTATTTATTGAAATGCCGCATTTTTGCAGGAGAGATTGCCTTGACGGAAGACAAATGCGATGAAGCTGAAAAGCCATGCGCCAGTCAATATCACCGAAGTGATTTCAGCAACAAAAAAAAAGTGCACCTCATCAGGAAGATTTCAACACGCAGTAATGCATATTTTTAAGAAAAATAAGGAAAGAAATTTTTTGCATCAATGCTAAAAAAAATTATTCATCGAACTATGGCATTTATAGAACAAAGAAAACGGAATCCATAACTGTTACAAGAAAGATAGAAACCAATGAAAGTTACCTTCCATTGTACGAAAAATTGTATCATAAACTTGTGAACACTTCTCAACGAGTTGCATAAATTGGTGATCCTCAAGTTTTGCAGTCAAATACTCCTCAAGCCGTGATGAATCATTCAACAAATCGCTGATCGATAGGCAGTGTTCAGTTTGGACACCCTTAAAAAACAAAAATTACCCTAATATTGAGCTTTGTGAAATCCCACCTTCTTATTTGATATATTTTCTCTTCCACAACCAAATCTATCTTATCCGCCCATTTGCAGCTGCAAATGCTAACGGAGCACAATTGTTGAAGGGTAGCTAATAACATCATCAGAACGCTTTAAAATATTAAAATGGACTAAAGGAAATAATTAAAGGTTGACACTAGGGATGTTTCCCAGAAGATTGATGCTCAATTTTGAAGGCCATCAAGTATATAATGCATGAAGGATCTTAATTTTCCTAGCAAACGATATTTCTTTTAACCTTACTTAGAAGAAAGAAGAGGTAAAATATTTTGAAGAATATGTACAAGGTATACCATTCAAAATAAAGCGTATAATTTCGGAATACAAATTAATTTTCGTTAGATAAAATTTAAAAAAAAGTTGTGACAGTGCGATAATTCCTGATATATTTATAAATTTTGATCATGGAAAAAAATAAAATGATCACCAACCACAGTTCGTCGATTTTCTTGTCCATAATTGCTTCTGTTAGATATTGTACTAAAATTTGTCGCTAACGGTAAATCCATGTTTGGTTGAGTAGCTTCCATTTCCATCTAAAAAGGAGAGTTCTATATGGTTGTGAAATCGATAGAGGAATTATCAACATAGTGTTATGCTGATGTCTGTTGTGGTAATACTAGTTGAGAATAACTAGTTGGGAATAACTTCTCAAAAATAGGAGAAAAAACATGGTATCGATGCAAACTATCGAAACATTTTGATGATGAATGTTACGTCGAATTATCTGTTATAGAAAAAAGCGGTCAGTATGCAGATGGACGAACGAATTTCACTTATACATGAAAGAAAAATTATTTCAAGTAATTCAAGCAAAGTACTTACATCATTGATATTGAAAGCCTGATCAACAACTGCCTGATCTGCCTGATCAACAGCTTTTGAAGTTTTCAAACAGTTCAACAGTTTCGCACCTCCACTCTGAAGTAAAAGAGTTACATGTTTGTGCCCAAAATCTTAGGAATTCCTATTCAAATTAAATTTCAAACTTCAAAACTCTAGGATATCAAAATATTTGAGATTTTCAAAACTCCAAGAATTCTTTCTTTTAACTAAAATTTCTTCCGACTTCATGCGTGGTAGTAATTCAATTTACGGACTTGAGAAAATGATGCTGGAAAGGTTTCCGAAGATTCGGAACAATGTCGAGCTGTTGGATGTTTCACTGGTTTCAACACTTCATAAATTTTCTCATCAACCAAACGCTGAAACATCACTGGGAAATTTTTGTAAGAAGGAATGGGGAATCTAATTTCCTGCTTTATTTTTAAAATTTCTGAAACAACAGAAAAGATTAGCAGTTCAACATGTCTAACCGGCTGACTGGATGTAAAATACTCCTGAGGGGTTGAATTGTGTCGAAAATTCTGCAATTGAGGTTATAGGACTTCTTTTTCATCACATTTATCTTAATTTAAAATTTATTAAAAATTTTGTAGCATTTTTCAATTAGTAAGAAAGAGTGAGATTATAAATGATCAGCAAGCTTGCTGTGCATCAGATAAACTTACCCTTCATAACATTGCAAGACCATTCCTACAATTGAGTATGACAGGTTAAAATTCAAACCTTGTTTTTTTGGCAAAACATAATGCCTGCTATGGAAATTTTTTTAAAAAAATGAATAAATGTAAGAATTTAAGCGAGGAAAAAATGGAAAGCTAAACACAATAATACCGTAGATAATGAAGCATGAATAATCGGATTTTGCATCGAATAAAAATCAGAGATTGGTTCTGCAGGAAGAACGGTGGTAACATTCCTGAACAACTGATATCAAAGATATGATACTAGCAATTCTGCAGCAATAATCTAATATTTGAAGGCATACTTTTAATTCACCAATAGAGAACAAGTATTACTTACACTGATTTCTGAGAAGAATCACTGCTAAATAAACTAAGCTGAGAGTTTTCTTGCGATGACCTCATTTCATAACCCTGCTGAAATAAACATTGAAATGGTCTTTATATAAGCTATCAAATCTATCCAAAGTTATTTTACCATATATGCAAATACTGATGTGTAAATAATTATGCTCATCTGAATGATACAATCAATGACTGAATATTTTGCATTAAATATAATAACTACTTTAGTAATCAATTAGTGGTTGTATTTTTATTTTTAAAAAAGCGAGCATGTACTGATAACGGTTGGCTAAAATCCGATGAAGTATTCATATTTGAAGGTGGTAAAACTTTAACAAAGAATGAAACAAATTCCACAAATGATGCATGGTCTGATAATGTAGCAAATTTTATGCGAAATCTAGTCAACGTTGTGCCATTCTGAAAAAAGAAAAAAAACTTGTCAATTGTGCCATTCTGAAAAAAGAAAAAAAACTTGTCAACCGCAATATTTGTGAAATTACTCAAATAAAAACAATTCATGCAACTCGGTCAACTTTGGAAATCACTGCTACAACTCTTATTATGCTTACTACATACAGCAACTATAGGTTAAATTATGCAAGAATGATATCGTCTTTTTCTGAGCTCATTTTATACCTCTATAATCATTATTGGAATTTCATTCAAGCATATTTGAAAAGGTTACCGCTGAAGAAACTTGAACAAAAATATCCTTCTCTTTACTTCGCATAGTTGGTCGAGGATTCACAGCCAATGAAAATTCCTCAAGTGTTGATGAATTGAACATAATACTAAGATAACACCGGTTTTTGTTGTAAATGATAACCATTGTTTGCTCGGATGATACCGGGATTTCCTGGAAATACTGCAACTATAGTTTTCGTAAGAAAGTAAATTACTTCTATTCGATGATATTACACGGCTTAATGAGTCATTTTTCCCTGTATCCATGAAAATATTCCTAACTTCTGGAAGCCATTACTTGTAACGGACGGTTTAAAATAGAACTTTAGAAAATCAGGATAAATTTCTGATCAAAACAAAATTATTCAAAAATGACCCAGTGGCTGGGAAAACAAATTTCATATTCGTAATAATCCCACTAGATCGTAGAGAAAAGAAAAACAATTACCAGACGTGTTCCAACAAGTTTCGTATATTTAATTAATGGCCAGGAAACGCTGTTCATATCTTCACGAATGCTATTTTTTGAAGCCATTTAATGCTAAATTTAACCAAAATTAAGATAAATTTAATTGTCTACATTTCATCACTGATTTATAGGCAAACAGAAAGTGTCATGAAAATTAATTTTCATTGACGTATAGCTTTTCAAAACACGACACAGAAGCCATAGCTCTGTTCGCATAACCACGATTTAATAGGTGACGTAATAACGAAAATTTCATTTCCAATTGCAATACAGCATTTAGGAATGAAATGATGAATTTCATTCGTAGACACGATATAGACGTGGATTAGAAATAGGTAACAAGTAAAACGTAAAACACGTGTAACGAGATTTCATTCACATGAAAAAGATTAAATTTGATCTCGAAAGATGATGTGTTGGGTGTTAAAGAACAACAACATGTTTTTATAAATATTACGTGGATACAATAAAATCAAGATCACGTAAACGATTGAAAATTTGCTTGATGACGTAGGACGTAGAATGTGTCCTCATTAGTTATGTAAGTCTCTCAATTTTACATTTCGAAAATTCATTTACCTGATTAATTTTCTCAAATTTAATTTTAAATAAGAAAGTTTAAATAAGAATACAATTTTTCTGTCCCTTTTTTTTTCTTTTTCGCTCACCACAGCTAAATAAATGCATTTTGTAATTTCAACTAAATTAATTTCTTTTCTAAAACATAACCAGTAATATGTGATAGATCTTTCCTTTAACTAATTTGTTAATTAATTGACATTTCCCAATGAATTAATAAGGAACAACGAGTAGCAAAATTTTGTGAATTTCATTATGCAAATAATTCCAATTAACCAGATTTCAGCAAATTTAAATATGACTCATCTATTTTTGATGGGATTATTCATCATTCATCCAAGTTAGAATACAAAATGTAATTTCTATTGATTCTTGATTAATTCTCCCAGTGGATGATCTAAGTGCCATTCACGTAACTCATGCCATCAGAACCAATGACATACTCTCAGCTTAACCGAATCATTCGTCCCCGTATTGATATTTTACATCAGAAAAATGAATGCGTTATATTATTTAACCGCGTCATGTAATTGTCACATAAAGAAAATGTTTCATGCAATGGTGACAACGTAAGCTTGAATGTAATTTCTGCTTAATCTAATGTAACTCAAATTCAACGTGGCTTATATGATGCTTGTTTTCACGTCTTACACGAGATATTTCAAATTTACGATGTATGATTTTAAAAAAAAGCGTACTACCGGTAAGATTTAGAAAAGACAACTCAGCTTCAGCATAGCTTACGTGATGGTTATTATCACGTTTTATACAAGATATTTCAAATTTATGACATGTAATTCAGAAAAAAATAAAGCGTACTACCAGCAAAATTCAGAAAAAATAATTTGACTTCAGCGTAGCTTACGTGATGTTCTCTTTCACGTCTTACACGGAATGAAGCTCACCCATGTCAAAAAAAAAAGCCTTCTTACGTAACTTGCTTTACGACTTTTGAATGAAATTACATTTCGCAAATTGTTTTGCATTTTATTTTTGCGTTGCAAAAGACGATGGGATACTCGAAGCGGGAACTTCAGAACGATGTATAGGACAGAATATTAAGTTATTAAAGTTAGATGAATTAGGGGTAGGTTAGGTTTAATGGCTACGAGTAGGAGGTTAGGTGTGGTATGAGCCTTTTACATAGGCCTTGTATGTGGTATAAGCCTCCTTGAAAGAGTTACAAAGGATTGAGAACATTCGCAAATATTTGTTTTACAACGATGACAGTAATTATAAGGACGATGAATGATAAATTGAAATTGAAGTGACAGTGAAGACTGCTAAATTTGGAGCGATGTAATGTTGGCAGTAATCGAACGAATTGTTGATTAGCAGAAGAAAGTAAGATTGGAATAATGGGATTAGGATGAATATAAACTTTGAATAATTAAAGAGACATGAGGAAAGGGTACTTTTTGTAGTTTAGAAACTCAGACTTGAATTTCATTTTACTCTTTCTTGGATCCTGTTGCATTAAATATTCTATTTGCAATGATTTTCATTTACAAAAGTTATAGGATATGAGAAATAGATGCAATTTCAGAAAAAATATACTATTAGAAATTGATAAAATTAATGAGTAGATTTTTCCCTTTTACAAAATTTATTGTAAATTAGGATTTAAAAGAAAGGTTAAAGTGTCCAGTCTTCTTTCATTGTTGTTGTTTTGCTTACAAGATATTGGTTGTTTCCGTATTTCGCTTTTGTTTGAGTCGAATTAGATTGAATTTGAAAGACGAGCTTGTGTAAAACACTTCTTTTTTTATCCAAATCCTAATAAATCTCTATAATAAGTCCTTGCTCTCAATTATACTTAAAAAGTACACTTGCAGGATGCTATATCCATACCTGCAAATCAGTTTTTCTTAGTCATTATAACTGTTATGATATCCTTAACCGATAAACTTTTATGGCTGTTATTGTTATTCTTTTGCGTCACGGACCATACGATGTTTTTACTGATTTGAGCTGAATTCGAAGGAGAAGTTGCACAAATTTCTGTTATTTATTTGTTATTTTTTTCAGTATGACTGACCGTTTCATTAGCGAAAAGGATTTGGATGAAGTAAAGAAACGGCGGCAGGAAGAGTGGCAGAAAGTCAGAAAACCTACTGATCCAGAAGGTTTGCTATATCTTTTACTCCTGTATTAATTTGATATGTATTATTGGTACCAGGAGCTATTTATTTTGTTACGTCTTTTTCAATCTCATCAAGAATAAAACAAACATGAACTCGCTACCTAAAGGGATTTTCTTGATGTAAAATACGAAATGAGGCATTCCTAACGAGTACTGGGAATTACTTAATTTGCGAAGTGTCAGAAAATTATATGGAGCGAACTATTTTGATAGCATGAATAACTTGGGTGTATTAACAATCGGGATGTTTCGTGTTCGGTATATCTGAAGTCCAAAACTGCATTATTTAACCACATATTTTTGTCTTAAACTTATATCACTGGTTACCAGTTAGCGTTTTAGAAGTCCCAGAGGAAGAAATTGACAATAGGCCTTTATATGATCGTTTAAAAGAAGTTCGTGATCGGAAGCAAGCAGAGTACGAAGAAGAGCATAGATTTAGTGAGTTTTATAATTGGTTACTGAAACTGATGTTTGATAACTGATGCAAATGAAAATAAAAATAAAAAATAAATTTTTCGGTGTTAAAGCCGTGAATATTTTAGAGGAAATTGATTTTCAAAAAAGTACTTCGTATGAACCATTGACGCAGAATTTTTGTTTTTTATTCAGGGAATATGATTAGAGGACTTGATTCGGATGAATGTGATTTTCTTTCCGAAGTTGAAAGTCTTAGAGCCAAGCAAGATCTCGAGAAAAATAAGGTTAACTATTTTGGATCTACTCATTTGCGACATTGAGTATCGTTTTATGATAAATGAGTTTTTTCTTTTTTTTCGATTTGTTTCAAGTACACTTTCAAAATTCATTCAGTGGAGAAATCTTTTAAGCAAAGAGTTACGAACTTGCAAGTTTAAAGTCATTTCTTCGTAGACTTTCAAACTTCATTCAGCTGAAAAGTCTCTTGGGCGCGTAGCTAAGGACTTATAAGTTTAAAGCCATTTCTTAACTTTATAATAGATAAAAGGAATCCGTGGGTACAATTCATCCAAAGTCATGGGGAATAGCCCCTTGGAGCTATCCCTTATTTTATATAAATGCATAATATTTATACAAGCAGCCTATTATAATTGAATATTTGGGAATGAATGGTAGTTCCAGGAGTTAAGAAGTGATTTCATTTTTACCCAAAGGTTCCTAAAGTCAGAACTACTTTTCAGGAAGAGAAAGCGCTTTTGAGCGAAATTGACCGTGCTCAAGCACGTAGAAACGTAGAAGAAAATGGACCATCGGTATCAGATTTACGTATAAAACCAATTGGCGGCGTAGCGCCAAAAGAAAATAAGCAGGCTGCGATACTTCGTATGGCGGTTAAAAGAAAAAGGTATTTAGTCTTCTTCCAGTTTCTTTAATTTTAAAAATTATTATATTTGTAGATTTGTGAGGTCTTAATAATTAGATCTACAGCTTTGAAAACTCTTTTGTCAGGAATGGAAGCAATGAAATTAATCCTCTGTTTCAGTTTTCCGGCTAAGTAGATCTTGAGTTGAAAAAGATTAGAAGCATTCTTCCAGAGTTTTTGACCGAGTAGAAAGCCTGCTGATTTCTTATTTCTTGAAGACTTGAATTTGTGCTTCTTTGGTTTTATCAGCTCCTGATTCAGTGATATTGGAATGGACAGATGCGTTGAGAAGCGACCGTTGCTAAGTGCAATGTCAGAGACTGTAGCCTTTCCATCTGCCTTTAAAATAATTGATGTTCTTCCTGGAATGGCGGATTATGCATCTTCAAAGTTTGTATAGTTATTACTTTGAGTAATATGCCAAATTTATCGATATGAATACTGTCGATAAACTATGTCCATTGGAAATTAAAATGCTTTGGAATGTTTCACATTCTAGTGCAGTACGGTTATATTTTGGCTTACACCAGTAGGGCATGTTGCAGAAGAGTAATCCTCTCTCCCCTACCCCCTCCCAAAAAAAAAGGAATCTTGGATAATGTCTTCTTCTGAGACGAGAAATTTGTTTGTGGATTTCTTTTATACTTGTTCGTTGAAGTTGAATTTATTTTAATGATTTGCTGTTGAAAATCATGAAAATTATTTTAATAACTCCTTGATTTTGTCTAATATTTACATTTCAGTAATTCAAATTCGGGTTCGAATTACGATAGTGATTCGGATAGTTCCAGTGATTTACCTATTTTGCCAATGCTGATCCCAAGTGAAAATGACAGAAATAAACAGTTGAGTGATTCCGATTACGATTGTAGTGATTGTAGTGATTAATTGTATGATTTTGTTCCTTGTACACATTATTGATGAGTGAATGATTAATGTCCCAGTTTTTTTAGGTTTAAGTTTATATTTATGGGTTTATGGTTTATATTTCATTTATTTCAGTGTATTTAAGTATATATAGCGCTAGTAGTAAAGATGGTGAGCTATTTCCAGTAATATGCGTAACAGGATTGCGTTATACTGTATCAAGCGATTGTGCAACAGCTTGAAGTAGTAGTGTTGCTATTTAAGTTGGTGGTAGTCGTTAATGGCGAGTCAAATTAATATTCTTAGAGCATTTTAGGCAAATTTTTTCTCTTTCTTTTTCTTTTCAGGAGTTGAGAGACTAGGAGTTACCAATGATGCATGAAGGATGGAGCCGTGGAGGTCGGCTACCCCTTGCAGTGTGGCGCGTTCGTTGACTTCTGAACGAGCTAATCGAAGGTGAACGTTTTGAAGTGATGGATCTAGCGTAATATTTTTTCTATTGAAGTGCTAGATTTCTCGAGGTGTTTGCATAATTTATATTTCTTGAACATATTTAAGGCCTATTATCGGTTTTTCAGCATATATGAGGGGAGCATCTAATATTTGCCAAATACGAGTGAGTACCTTTTATACAATAATAAATTATCGATGCACTTGTTTGTGTTATGCAATTATTCAGACAATGCAAAGGATTTACAAGAAAATAAAAAAGTTTCCTCACTTCACTCTTATTTTCTGGAACTCTTATGACTCAAAATGTTCCTTCCTCAGAAAAGTTGCAAGTTCGGGTCCCTGCATTGCTTTGTTCTTTTTTTGCCTGTTAGCAAACAAAATGTGGAAATGATATACTATCTGTTTCAACCTTATTGCCTATACAGTTAGATTTTTTTTTTTTTTTATTAATCAGTAATATATTCTTGGTCTTAGCTTGACAGCATGTTAACTTTTGCCATGTACGAATTTCTCTGAAAGAGGTCCATAGTGTTAGTTGTCTATTCGACCGTTCTGTTTAACCGGCTTGATAGGCTAACCATCGAGCAGAATGAATTATCAATCCTTAGCTTTTATAAAACCTGTTGCGCAAAGTACTGAACTTTGATTCCTTCTTTTTTTTTTCGAAGATTATGTATTTATGAGATATGGAGAAGTTTTATGATTGAATTTATGCATAAAATATTATCAGAATTCTGACACATTTATAAAGATATCGGAAAAAAAAAAACAAAGATTTTATCCCAACAAAATGATCGAAATAATTTATGAAGGAATAATCGGTCTTACCTAACTGAAACAGGAAATAATTCTATACATACATATGATTGAAAGAAGAAATCAGGTACTGCATCTTCAGATGTCTTATCATTAAATGCTATCAACTATAGTTAATCCTAAAGTATGGGTAGTAACATGCGACATATTTGAAAATGAAAAGATTGGATCATTTTCTCTATCTCAATTATTACGAAAATCCCATCAGCCAAGAATTGTCCTGGCTGACTTCTTCCACATTAACTATTCTTTCTTTTGTCATGAGTAATTCTTGCATATTACTATTATGATTCCAGAATTGATTTTATAAGCAAAATTTAGATTTCACAAGATTTTGATTTATGTTCTCTTGGATTTTCCAAAATTTATTATCAGTAATATGATAGCATTTCGAATGGAAGACATAGTTTACAAACTTAGATTCGGTATTGACAAAGATTTACTTTGCTTGATAATTTCGTGACATTCGTATAATTTCAGTCTCATGATGTATATAATCAAAAGAGACAATTGTTTTGTCTTTTATTTGCTAACATTATTATTCCATATCATTCTTATCCTTTCTTTTATATTCCATTTATTCATAAATAAAATTTGAAATGCAAACTTTCCTGAAAACTTTAAAATTTACTAAAAGGTAATAGGAAAATTGTAGAAATTTGCTTAAATTCAATGGATATAACCAGGAAAAAGTATTGTACACGTTGTGCTAAAATATATTATCGTGGTTCTGTCACAATATGGGTTTTAAAAATCGTGATTCTATTAGGATACAGGTTCAGCACCATGTTCGTTCGATATATAAATTAAAAATCATAATTCTACTAAAATAAAGATTTAGAATCATGGTTTTATTAAGATACAAGTTTATAAAAATGTTGATCTCAAGAATCCATTTAATTTTGTGAAATAAAATTTAACAACTCCAATGATAAACACTATTGAAAAGTACATTGTAAATACTATTTCAATATTAATCTTCAAAGTAATTTCTAAGTTTAATTATTCCTTGAAATTATCCAGAAATTTCTACTATTTTTAATGAATCAATGAATTACAAGAGACCATGAATACTTCCAAATCGTTCATTTTGGATAGTATCACAATATTCAAATCAAATCATCCGATCTTTTCTGTAATTTTTTGTTCTCTCTCATTAGATAAAACAATAGAATAGATTAATTGTTATCAACGTGTTGTAATTATATCAAAAGATATAAACCATTATCACACTTTTTCATTTCACTATAAATGTATAATTTGTAGCCTTTACTTGACCAGATACTTATAGCAATGACCACAAGGTTGAGAAATAATAAATTTCGTTAATTTTGAGATAAACTTTGATCGAAACTTCTTATATATCAAGCATTGATAAGGAAAAAAAAAAATAATACCCCCTGACTATCCTCTATTTACTATACCACTGCTGTCGTGAATCATATCTTAGTTTCCGCGGACTACCGGTTTGAGAATTAACCGTTTTTTTTCTTTATTTAAGAAATTCTTTTAAAAAAAAATGATTTCTTTCAAAATCTGAAAATGTCTTGAACATTTAAATAATTGTATATGTTGTATAAACATACAATATTTACATACAATACATCCGATATTAATTTTATATAACTCAGTTCAGTTTAATTCAATTCAATTCCATAATATTATTTCGTTTCAAATGATAAATAACAAAATGAAAAAAAAAAAACGAAATTTGCATATGTGAAAACTACTTAAGAATGCGTATTCCTTTTTATAAATAAATCTAATAGTTGTGCAATCTTTAAATTGCATTTAAAAAAAAAAGAAAACTTAAACTCAAACTATTACTTAAATTATTTCTAAAATAGATAAAATAAATCTTACAAAAATAATTGTCAACTAATGTGATTGCTGTTTTTTTTTCTTTTTCTTTTTTAATTCCTTAAAATACATTTCACGTAACAATTATTATAAAAATGAAAAATGAATGATAGCTGATAATTGTATTATAATCACTTGCGTAACTAAACTTATGTTATTATCAATTGTCAGCTATCATTCATTTTTGAAAATGGATAAATGAGAGACAGAAAAGAAAAATGAATGGTAGCTGATAATTTTAACATAATCACTTACGTAACTAAACCTATGTTATCAGTAATTCTTTAGTGAATTTTTTCGAACTGATAACTGATAATCATCACTTATACGATTAAACTTACGTTATCAGTAATTCTTTAGCGAATTTTTTCGAACTGATAACTGGCAATCATCACTTATATGATCAAACTTACGTTATCAGTAATTCTTTAGCG